CCGCAACAACAGCACCAACTAAATCGTAACCAGCCGCAGCAACTTATAAAGAAAGCTGTGCAGCTTTACGGTGTTGTATTGCATAGAGGGGTTCATTTTGTAGAGCAACAACAAATATAGTTAATCGTGTGGTAAAATATCCGTGCTTTTTGTTGTAAGTATTTGTCTTGAGCCTTATTCGCCGGTTCCATAAGGATGCTTATAGATTGAGATTCGAGTCGGCATTAAATGCTTTTCGCTATCATGCTGTGCTGGCAACACACTGTACCAGCACAGTTTTTCTCAGTAATTTGAAATTGTATTGAGCTCCCATTGACAATACATTGCTAACAAATATTTTACGACGTAAAGACAAATATACAAGACGCTGTTGGCTTTAGGCTGGGAGGCAGCAAGTGCAAGTGTACAGTAGAACATTGTAATTGTCACAGCAACTTTGGTATCTATAAAAAAATGCATTGACAGTGGTGATACCAAATCGTGTGGTGGCTTTGCCAGAATTTTTCAGCGATGTACTGTAGAAGCACAATCAGAGGTTCTCCCCAAGGAGAGCTCCGTTTTCTTTTATTGTAATTTTTCAAAATGAAATTTTCATAGTTCGTGATTTGAACAGTTTGCGTCACACAAGATTTGCCCATGACTGGAATTTGCAAATAACAGGGCTATGCCTCCGTTTTCGACAACATTTACACGAAGTTTGCAAAACTAAATTGATAGGCTTTTGTATGTTAACGCGGAAATGCCCCGTTCCCTCCCTATCAGACATTCGTCCCGCTAGCACACTCACTCCCTCACTTTGCAAAGTATTCGCGCTGCACCAGACTCTGTCAGCCTCCCTCGCGTAGCCCCTCCTTCCGTACCATGATTAGCGCACCAGCCACCACTATGTCCTTCACAACGTAGAGCACTTCACCTTCACCTCAATCATCGAGGCGAAGAGCGACGAGGTGGGGGCAGTAGTGCTTTAGCAACAAGCAGAGCTTCTCGAGGACACAATGTATTGCCCAGGCTACCAGCAGCCCATGCGTTTCAGGGTCCCCGGAAAGACGAAACACTGGCGGTGCTGCCGCAAGAAACGTCATAATGACGGTAGGGAGGCAAGTCTAAGTATTTTAACTAATACCTGGTTTTCTGGGATGAAACTATCGCTAGCACAAGCAGCTCGCCTACTGTATGCATGGAGTATGCGAGCGTCGCACGCCAACGCGGCGAAGACAGCGGACGTATCGGAGATCACAGTGGAGGACTGGTACGGCTACGTTCGATGTCTCTGCTCGAAGCAGCTGCTCAGCGATCAATTTTGGGTACTGCTCATATTCTGCTCAAATGTGTTTGGGGTGCTTTTAATGTGTACTTGTAGATTGGCGGTGTGGACCACGTTGTCGAAATTGACGAAACAAGCCTAACAAAGAAAGCCTTGTTCGCGATCTGGTACGTTCCCTCGTGGCTGACGACTGCCTGAGCGGGCGTACGTGCCTTCTGCTGCAGCTCGTCGCTCGATCTCATTGGCTGCGGCGAGATGTCGGTCATTA